ATTCCCACCACACTGAACGCACACTCAAATTCCAATCATGTCGATTGAATGTCAGTCGTTCACTTCTCACCACACTGAATGCAAACTCTCAAGTTCCAGTCATATAAAATGAGTGCCAGTCATTAACTTCTCATCACACTGAATGCACACTCTCGAGTTCCAGTCATATAAAATGAGTGCCAGTCATTAACTTCTCATCACACTGAATGCACACTCTCGAGTTTCAGTCATATAAAATGAGTGCCAGTCATTAACTTCTCATCACACTGAATGCACACTCTCGAGTTCCAGTCATATAAAATGAGTGCCAGTCATTAACTTCTCATCACACTGAATGCACACTCTCGAGTTCCAGTCATATAAAATGAGTGTCAGTCATTAACTTCTCATCACACTGAATGTACATTCTCAAGTTCCAGTCATGTCGATTGAATGTCAGTCGTTCACTTCTCACCACACTGAATCCACACACTCTCAAGTTCCAGTCATGCCAAATGAGTGCTATTGTGTTTGCACTGTTACTGAATTTTAGGTTACATTACGTTGTTGTTGCATTACTCACAGTATATTCATTTGTTTCTGCTTCATCGGGATTTAGGTCCTTATTTGGACCTGGGAGGGTCAGGTGCAGTCTAGACTTCTTCGTCTATTCATAGAAGCAATCATTTGAAAAGGCCGGTAGCAAGCCAACGGCTCATTGGTTAATCTAGGCTTGTGAATTGTGTACTCTTTTGATTGGTTGGTTGACTTTGTAGAAGCCAATGACTCATTGGTTAATCGAGGCTTGTGAATTCTATACTATTTTAATTGGTTGGTTGACTTAGAAGATTTACCCATTGATTATTGTTTGTTTCTTTGAAGTTAAGCACAAAACTACACAATAGGCTATCTGTGCTCTGCCCACAACGGGTATCGAAACCCGGTTTCGAGTGTTGTAAGTACGCAGACATAGCGTCGTGCCACTGGGGGACTCTCATCGATTATTCAAGCATTTTTATAAAGTCAAATAATGTATTAGAAATTTCAGTGATAAAATAGGTCCGAAGTTTGAAGAATTGAAATGCTAATCTAAGTTATCTAGAGGGTAGTTTTTAGTGATATCTTATACATGTTCAAATCAATTCACATTCCATCTTGAAAAACTCGGAGTTTGTTTACGTTATAATGTAACAAAGGTGTGAAACCAAACTTTGTTTTCTCTAGCTACCAGTACCAACCAAAGTACACGTCACATGAAGCTGCTGAGCGCGAGTGTGCTGTTTGACGGAATGATTCTATAAAGTTCTGTTTTTCTTTCAGCGGGGTTGGGGGTCAAATGCGGGCCAAACCACTTAGTCGTGGACCACCTAAGGTGTGTTATTAGCGTGTCTGGAACATTGGCGACCTCTGTATGTTTATGTACACGTATTACTTAGCAGAAGAGGGGTACCGGAAAGTAATATGCCATCTTTCAATCAAGCTTTCAATACCTCTTTGATAGAAGGGAGCTTCCAGTGAGACAAATAATTCTGCAAGAGATCTTTTGATGCCATCAATACTTCTGAAGG